GGGGGGGGTAGTCCAGTAGGGTCAGTGGGGTGGAGAATGGAATGAGGCTGTTACAGCACTGAAAGGGGTGGTCCACGTAGCCCATTATGAAATTGACATTTAAAGAGATGAGGGTGGTAAGGCATGAGACCAAAAATACAGTCAGAACAAACAGCTAGTGCACAAATTGTAAAGCAAAGATGTGCTTGGCATGTTCCCGGAACAGCAGGAAGACCAGTGTGGCTGAAGCCAATGCGAGAGGGAGATTAGCAGGAGTGGGTCAGAGAAGTAAGGGTGGAAGGCAGGTCACAGAGCGCCTTGAATTCTGAGAGAAGTGAGGAACTTGCGGATGGTTTTCAGCGGTGTAACATGATTTGAGCTGCAGCAGATTCACTCTGACATCTGAGCTGAGAATAGACTCCGGAAGCAAGAGCGTAGTCCAGGAAACCAGTTTGGAAGCTAACCGTCAAAATGCTCGCAGGGCAGGATCAAGCCGAGAGCCGGTGGTAGCAGTGGGAATCGGAAAAGGTGGAATGGTTCTGCATACACATTGAAGACATGACAGGATTTCTTAACAGGCCAAATGGGGCGGTGAGAGAAGAAAAGGGTTCAAAGAGGACCCCCAGTTTTTACCTATGGAATCAGAAAGATGGAACTGTCATGAACAGAGATGGGAAGGTGGTGCCATGGTTACAATTTATGGGAAACATGTCAGGAGGTCAGTTTGGACAAATTCGGGGTGAGGTGTCTAGTAGAGCTATCCAAATAGAACAGGACAATGGCAGAACTGGAGAGAGGTCCAGGCTGTCGCTCACTTTCTGCACTGCACTTCCACAGAATACTGCTCTTGAGTCCAAGCTCACTGCCACTGAGTCAACGCTGACTCAGAGTGACCCCCCTGTAGGTTTCTGAGACTTTAAGTGTTTACGAGAGTAGAAAGCCCAGTCTTTCTCCCACAGAGCTGCTGGTGATGGTTTCAAACTGCTGACCATTCGGACTGCAGTCCAACATGTAACCACTACATTACCGGGGCTCTTATAGGACTAGAATTGTCTTTATGTAAAGCGAGTGACTCTAAACTCCTGTACATTTAAGTTGTTGTGTGCAATTTGAAGCTTATCTGTTTGGCCTACCAGCCCAGCATGTAACACACAATTATCCTAATGTTTGAGTTGCTGCAATATGGAAGTCACTGTTACTGTAAGAAGAAAAACACTGAGTTAACTGACCGTCATCAAGTCAATTCCAACTCAGCGACATCTTACAGGACAAAGTAGAATTGCCCCTGTGGTTTTCCAAGACTTTAACTCTGTCCAGACACAGAACGTCTCAGCTTTCATCTGCAGTGCTGCTAGTGGCTTCAAACTGCTGACCTCATGGTCAGCAACTCAATGCATAAACCACTACCCTGCCAGTAAAAGGCAAGGTAATAAATTAATAATTTATTAATATTATTACTTGACCTGGTTTACAATGTTTTAACTTTGACCGCCCCAATTTTTTTCTTTTCTTTTCTCTCTGGTTATAAGCTCTCTTCTAAGCTGCCTAAGGTTGCCAGATAAATGATCTGCCAACAATAAAGACATTACTGTATTAACTGCATTTTCTAAGAGCTATACAATATTACATTAAAAAATCCTTGGAAGTTAATTAGGGAAAAGCTAATATGTATTTTCTAAGTAAACTTTACAAAACTGAGACTTATTTGTAAGCACATCTATCGTATATGCTCGTGCATAAGCCGAGTTTTTCAGCACATTTTTTAAGCAGTTTTTGTGGTACAATTAGGTACCTCAGCTGATTTATTCAAGTCAGCTTATACTCAAGTATATATAGTATATTAAAAACTAAATTTACCATGCAGTGATTGTACGATAACTCCTGTACTGCATGTTTTACATATAAGCTATCATGTAACTATCACAATGCTCTGAGAGGAAGTTGCTCTGAGTGTGTGTGAGGCGACAGACCCAATGTCACGGGACTAGCAAGAGGGCAGTTAGGACAGAAGCTCTTTTGACTTTAATAACTATGCTGTTCAAAACTGTATTTTGCTATCAATATTTCAGGAGCCCTGGTGGTATGGTGGGTTACACATTGGGCTGCTAACCATAAGGTCAGTATTTCAAAACCACCAGCCACTCCTTGGGAGAAAATTGAGGCTTTCTAGTCTCGTGAAGGTTTACAGTTTAGCCTGTCGGATGGGCCCACATGTCAAATATGGCTTAGGTGACAGTGAGCTTTTGGACTAACATTTCTAGAACATATTTTTCAATAATACAGTAATATGCTTTTACCTCTGCTTAGCAAAATTTTAAAAATTATACTACTTATCTGCTCAGCATGATAAAATTTAACTGTGAACACCTAATCTGTGGAAGGCTATGGAGGACAGTGGGAGCCCCAAACCCATCTAGTAACTAGTCAGATTAAGCCGCTGGCAGACGCTCTGTAGCCACATGCAAAGGCCTGGAACAGCCTTACTATCAAACACAGGTCACTGTAATCCTGAGTATGCTGGATAAATCTGATACTTGGTCAGTTGACCTCCCTCCAGACCCAACCTAAATTTATTCTAGGTGCAAGGATCTCTTGCTTGTTCCATGACAAAAATTTCTTCCCTAGCTTTTTAAATGTTGATGGTGGTCTTTTCTTTCTTACTTATTGTTTGTATTTTTATCTTTGTATTACTATTGTTCTGTCCTTACCACTTTATTTTGTTTTTGTTCTTTATTGTTTCTGTTGGGTTTACCAGTTAGTGATGTGCAGAAGAAGTGGATGTATAGAGATCATAACTCATGCAAGGGTTTGTAGGGGGTGTGGGGTAGAGGAGGGAGATGGGAAGGTAAGGGGATTTCGGGAATAAACAATGAAGGCGGGAGGTGGAGGGAGCACTAGAAGTGAATGTGATCACACAACTCATTTCAGAGGTGATTTAGTCATAGGGGGAAAAAGAAAGAAAATGTCCTAAAATTGATTGTGGTAATGACTGGATAGTTCTTCTTGATATGACAGAATGACTGAATCGTATGCTATGTGGATTATGTGCCAATAAAACTGTAAAAAGAAAAAAAAAAAGAAAGAATGAATGAATAAAAATTAAAGCAAGGTGACTGGTCACTTATAGCAAGCATTTTCACATATAACCTAAAATATAAACAGTGCTATTGTCAACCTTTTAAAGATCATGTAGATGCTTATAGCAGCATTCAGTTCAGCAGTTTTATAGGCATTTTCAGGAAACTCAAACTAATAAACTTTAATTCCATCAAAAACCACTTAGTCCTCGGGAAGCTTATCCTGTTAAGCATTTTGTTAGAGCGATATGTTAACAAGGGTCTAGTAAAAGAGAATGTGGCTCCCAAACAACACAACGCTGCTTTGAACAGACAGCTCTGGATGTTCAGAGAGCGGAACAGACAGATGTTACGGTACAGGTCTCACCTGTCCATGGGTTTGCTGTGTCAGAACCGGCCCCATGGCAACAGGGACAGGTTCTCATCTTCTAGTCTGGATCTCAAATTAATGTGGAAAATTAGAAAGCAAAAGAAATAACGTGGCCTGGCCAAAGTCTAATAGGCCCTCTGATGAATAGTGCTCCTTTCACGACACTGCTGTGTAAGAGCTCAGCATCACCCATTCAGGTTGACCAAATCCTACTTGTTAGGTTACCCAGATCAGCTTCCACAGCTTTCCTATGGGGCTGATAACAGTGGCTGCCCATAGGATTTCTGCGTGGGTAGAGATAATGATCACCAAGTATAGTCAAGAACACAGGGTAAACACTTAATGTGTTAGATACAATGACAAGAATTCCTTATGGCCCCAGAGATAGTTAAGGTTTTTTGTGCCAACCTGGCTGATAAACACATGTGGGATTAATTTTAAGGGCAGAGAAATAAATGGCTCGGTGAGTCTCGCCTTTCTAGTTCTCGGGTCTCTTGCTTTCTGACGGTCGGACCTGGGTGCAGCTGCCTTAGCTAGTTCCCTGCTTCAACTGGCAAGGCTCACTTCCTGCAAGACATCCCTGAGGAGAAGGCACATGGAGCTAACCGGATGCAGCCCTGGGTGCTGGAGCAGCCACATGGGGACCCCTGCCAGTGCTAAGATGATTACAAGCTCACTGACTCTGTTTTCCTCCTGCATTCGGCATCATTGCATGTGTTTTATGAGATTGAGGAGGATTCTGTAGATGGGTTTAGGCCATATGGGCTAATGTTGGACTTGTGGGCTTGGACAGCACTGGGTTGGGATGCTTTTTGAATGTACACTTACCCTTTATATAAAACTCTCTCTTAAACATACAAGTGTCTGGATTTGTTTCCCTAATTTACCCAGACTAACAGAGCCCCCTTATTAGACTGTGTTGCTCTACAATGAAATATATTCATGTAATAGAGTACAGCAAGACACTACATTATTTTATTCTGGCTTTCCATCATATTACATACTTAAAAGTTAAGTATTCATTTAGCCCTAATACCCTTCATAACTGTCAGAATAGTTTAATGAATTGTTTCCTGTGCACACGCTGGCCAAAACACCCCACCATTCTTGTAGGTGGTAGAAAAACAAGTAGGACGAAGTAGAAAAACAAGTAAAACAAGTAGAATGAAATTAGAGTCCTAGAAAAATAGATCTAGGGCTCAGAATCAGCAGGACCTGTTTGAGAAGATGAATGTTTTGTTCTAAAAAGTAGAAAAATATCTGTGGGAAAAAAAGTAAAGAATCATATAGTAATAATGCCAACAGAATTATTTTGAGGTAGAAGACAGGCACAAAGAAGATAAGAGAAGGCCCAGAATACAAAACAACCAACTGTCATGACGTCAATTCCAGCTCCTAGTGACCCTCCTCACAGGACAGAGTAGAACTGCTCCCGGGGGTTTCTGACACCATAGCTCTTCACGGGAGGCGATAACGTCATCTTTCTCCTGAGACGCGCTGGTGGAGCTGAACTGCTGGCCGTGTGGTTAGTAGCCCAAGGCACAATGGTGGTACACCACCAGGACTCCAAGAAGGACCAGAAGAGAATGGAAATTGCCTTTTTTTTAAAGGTGATCTTACTCATTTCTCTCACCTTATATGAAAACTGAATTGCAGACTCTGGGGGATACACGATAAAGTGCCTTAATGTGAAGCCAAAGCCTTGTGAGGTTCTTTTCAGCATCACTGTCTTGGGACCAGGCCAGGAGAAGGTCTCATCTTCGGAAGGTGACACGGTTTCACTCTGCTCTTTTCCATCTTTCGTTTTCGATACCTAAGATGAAAAGAAATTTAAAAGTCAAGAACATGACACAATATCGTTAGCTTATAAAAAGTTATACGTGAGAATATAATGCCTAAATCTAAATATTAACTTAATAAAGGAAAATAACCATATTCTGATATGTGATGTATATACGAGGGGGTATCCGCCAAAAAACAGAAGTTTTTTTCAAAGCTTTTTATTTAAATTTTGTTACAAAACAACCTTATCACATTCAAAGTACTCTGCATTACACTAAATACATTTGTCAAATCTGTGATTCCATTCTTGGAAACACTTCAAATTCATTTGTTTGGATGGCTGACAGCACCTCCTTCATTTTTTTCTTCACCTCTTCTACTTCGTCACTGTCCTTTTATGTCCCTCTTCATTAGCAGAAACAAAAAGAAGTACCTCAGAGCGAGGTCAGGTGAGTCAGATGTGTGAGAAAAGAGAGGCATGCTGTTTTTTGGTCAAAAACTGTTGCACTGAGATGGCTGCATGGGCAGGTGCATTGTTGTGGTGGCAAAACCAGTCCTCTGTCTGCCAAAAATCAGGCCTTTTTGGTCACACACTGTTATGCAATCTTTTAAGAACCTCTTAATAGAAAGCTTGATTAATAGTCTGCCCTGGTGGAACAGACTCCAGATAAATGCAATCCAAGTCAACATGTCTGTCCATCTGGGAAGCCGATAGACGTCTAGAGCAAGGTTTGTCATAAAATGACATTTCACCTTTTTTGAAACAAGAAAACCACTTGTACACTTGAGTTTCTACCATACTGCTGCTCTTGTAAGCTGTGTTCAATATCACAACAGTTTCTGCGGCATTTTCCCAAGCAGGAACCAAAAATTCACAGTCGCACACTGTTCTCTTAAATCAACCATCACAAAAAACGAGGTTGGAGTGAACCTGCTTTTATGAAAAATTCACGGTGACTAGACAGAATCTTCCCAGGTGACGCCACTGGGTGCTCTAACTCACAGGGAGTTCTAGAAGCGCACCTCGTGGGGGATAATGTGTACTATGAAAGCTCCGCTCCACCCAGCACAATTCTGTTTTGGGGGTACCTGCTCATATATTTCAACATAAGATATTGATTATCAAAAACCATTTTTTCCGCCAGGAGAGGATATTATGAGACATAAATAATCAGAAACAAGAGACTCTTAGAAATTAAAAATGCCATATATACTCGAGTAAAACCCGAGGCACCTAATTTTATAACAAAAAACTGGGGGGCTTTTTCAGCATAAAAAATGTGCTGGAAAAACTCAGCTTGTACTCAAGTTTACACGGTATAATGGCTATGGTGAAAATTACAACGAAGATAAGTGTTAAAGGTACAGAGATAAATACAGTTGTGTGCACTCCTGCAAAACCCCAAAATCTTAGCTGCATGAAGACATGCAGGTAGAAGGTGTACAGGAGAGAGAATCATACTCACAAACACAACTCAGATAACAGAGGCTACTTATACATGGGTATTTATCGTTGTTGCAAATAGATGTAGGAATGTGGTGCGAAGTTATGAAAGATGCCACGGCTATAAGCTACCATCTTGATGGAATGAGTCACAGGGCTTGAGGGATCAGGTCTCTCGTGCTGAGGGACATCTAGGTCAACTGGCATGATGACGGCAATATTCTTCTACATCCTACTTAAGTGAGTAACTAGAGCCTTACAAGCTCACGTGTGACCATCTAATGTGCAATTATTGTTCTCGCCCCATCCGGAGGAAAGAAGGACGAATAGCAAAGATGCATGATAGTTTCGCTTTGTGCCAGTCAAGTGTGACCATGCGAACATCAGCCTTTGTAACCCCAAGAGGAGGACTGATGGAAGCTGCTACCACTCCCAACTGCTCCGAAAAGGGTCCCAGCAGAAGGAAGGTCTAGACAGTGGGAGAAAAACGTGAAGCGAAACTCACAATTCTAGGAAAGGTCAGGCTGGCTGGCTGGATAGAAACTGGGGGAACCACCAAGACCATGGCCCTTTGTCAGCCTTCAAGTCTGGAAATGAACTCATCCACATGCCGCAGTTTTCTGTCACGCAATAGACAGGTCTCTAAGGTGCATAATCACACAAGAGAAATATGCACTCCTTAGAATAGTCAGCCGCCTAGTCGCAGATCGTTTCAGAAGGATTAGGAAAGAGGACGGAATGAAAATGGGAAACACAGGGAGTCATTTGGACAGAGGATGCTGCACTGTGGAGGCTACAACCACTGACACAAAACAAGACAGAGATGCATTGTTGAATGGGAAACAGATCTGTTCTGTATACCTTCACCCAAGTCACAATAAAAGGGTAAAATAAAGCAAAACGAAAATGCAATCGAAGGGGTGGAAAATAGTATCAAGGAAATCGCTCAGAGCATTATGGGCTAAGAATCAGAAACTATGGAAGAAGAGAGCACGGTAGATGATAAAACTAGCATCAGAGTGTCCAAAGAAATTTTGAAAATAATAGAAAAGGACTCTAAAGTTCCCGATACAAGTTGAGAAACCACATCAAACAGACAAGCCTGCCAATAATAAATAGTCTGGCTTTACAGTTCTTCCACTGCCTCTCCTCCCCCTCACAGCTAAGGCCTGGTCGAGACTTCGTAGGAGTCACTCAGCAAAAACTGGCTGTGAGCGAAGCCTACGTGCTCACTCTAAGTCTGCACCTATGCAGCGGACAGAGAGCCCAACGACCTGCTCTCACTTTGTGCCTGGCCGCTGACCTGCGGAGTTCCACAGCAAAGCTAACGCCTCCACTCCTAGATGACTAGTTCACGCTTTCTCATCGGTCCACACCTGCAGCCGACGACGCTGCTTCCTACCACCCCGAGAAAACAGAAGTAAACGATGAGAGTTTATGAAGGGTCATTTAAGAGTTCGTGGAAAATGCTACTATGAAAAAACTATGCATGATTTAAAAAAAAAATCACACCAAAATCAATGTGGACAAACTTGCCATCACGTTTGCACAGGCTCTCACTTGAGGCACCGCAAAGGATAAGACATCATTTCAAAAAGAGCCCATATCAGAGCAAATTATTAATTTGGTTAAAATAAAGGCAAGATCAAACATGAATGTGGTGGTTAAGTTTGGGTAGAGAAATGGTAAAAATCACTCATGCCGCCTGGAAAACTTATGGGGGGATAATATCCCAAAGAAATCAGCATTTTTCAAATGGCTAACTCATTTTTAAAAGAGCTAAAATGATGCTGAAAAGGAAGCCCGCGGCAGCAGACCATCCACTCACTCCCATGTCTGAGGAAACAACTAATCTTGTCCGTGCCCTAACGGGAAAGGGCCAACAATTAACAGCAGAAACGGGAGCTAAGAACAGAGACAGCTCAATTGGCTCAACTCACACGACTGACGTGGAGCAAACATTCTGCTCCAAGGATGCTAAAACTCCACAGACACAGGCCCTGCTTTCCATGGAAACTGTAAACAGATGGCATCAATCAAGCTCCTGGAGTGTTTTTTAAAAAGAACTGTAACAGAAGATGCGATTTGGCTTTACCAGTATGATCCTGAAGGTCAAAGCACCATCAAAGCAATGGCTATGAGGTTCAACCCAAGCAAAAGCAACGGCCAGGGGCAGGGGCCACGCAACCGTGTTTTTGGAATGCTAAGGTAGTTTGCTAAGGTACTCTGCTCCGGTTGGTACTCTGCTATGAATGGTATGATCAGCTCGTTGTGGGTGTTTAGCAGAAACACACCCAGGCAAGCTGCATCAGAGTCCTCCTTCCTCATCAAAATCATGCTCCTGCTCAAACCTCTCATCCAACAAGGGCAATTTAGTGACGATTTCCACAGGAAATCGACCTTGCAGTCTTGACTGAACTTCTCTGGAAGCCTTCACACGTTCCTGATCTTAAAGAAAACAGCACTGCAACATAAGAACAAGTGTGACACTGGCACAGGACCAGGTCGGGTTTTGTTCTGATGGACACAGGGCCACGATGGGCCGGCACCAACCAACAAAGACGATCGAAAAACAAAACAAACCCCACAGTCGTAAAGGACGCCTATTTTTCTTCAGTTAATAAGTGTAAAAGGCCACACTGACAAGGTTTAATTCCTAGGCCCCTCAGTTCTTTAGGGACAGACTAACAAGATGTTATCCAGCTTACATGTGTCAAAGCCGCCCATGACTTCCATATTATTAAACTGAACCGCTAATTGTCAGTTCTCATTTTTAAGTGAATGGTCAACGGCTTCAGAGAGGACTCTCCCTGTTGAAAACACATCTCGACTAGGCTTCCAGGACCCACTCCGGTTTTCTTCTCTGTCTCCATTGCTACTACTTCAACTGAGAAACCTCTGAACCTTAAGTGCCAGGGTCTCAGTCTGTGGACTGATCTATCTAGTCTAGGCTTTTTGTGATTTAATGCAGTAATGACATTAAATACCGCTATAGAGATATGTAAATGAAAGATCTCTGGGGGCACCTAGGTTAAGCATGGGGCTGTCCAACAGCTGCTCCAAGGGAAATCATGGCCATCTGCCTCGGTAAAGGTCCACAGCCTTGGGAATTCTGTGGCTCCGTTCCACTCTGTCACAGAAAGTGGCTACGAGCTGGACTCTTCCCGAAGGGAGGGACTGGGATTTATTACTTGTAGACGGAGTTTCCAGGTGGGACCATTCGTGCTAGACTAGATTCGAGCCCCTCTGGACCTGCCTCAGAAGACTGGTCACTGCCTTGGGAGCCACGTGGAGCGCACCGACTCTGCCTATCCGGCGGCCCCATGATTTGGATTCGATTCGGTGGCAACTAACCCTGGCAGATGACGCTCAAGTTTTTCTCTCCACCTCAAACCTTTTCTCCCGTCTGACAAGTGTCTCAAATTTCTATTACTGTTGAGATTCGGTATTAAATTACCCAATTTTTATGTGAATCATGCACCCGGTCTATGTTTCATTCACAATTGTGCTCAGCGGCAAATCAGTATTTTCTATTGCAAGAGGTGGACAGCACTGAAATTCACATGGAAACTGCGGCCACCCGGTTA